TTTGTTAGCTCTTATGTCATTTTAGGTGTAGCCGTGCTGAATGGTAGAGAGATTTCCTGATATATCTTGACATTTTAGTAATGTAGCATGAGGTGGATGATGACGTTGTGGGAGATGACAGTGAGGCCTAATATGAAAATAAAAAGTGCCTTTACACCTTGAAAAATCTACTGTAGTGTTTTATTGTGGAACTTGTCAGGAGCAGGAGAGTTTATGGGGTTTGTCATCAGTGAAGGGGAAGATATGCGTGTATGCTTTGGTGCAGTCATGCAAAGTGGAAAATAAAGCATGAGATATCATTGTGTATATAAGGGCTGAGTTGTAACACCCCTGCCCCTGTGTGTCATGTCCCCCCTCCCGCCGCCCAGGAATGGTGCATCTGCAAAGTGTTTGGCTCTGGGGCAGGTACAGATTGCTGTCATTTCTTCCGAGTACCTTTGAATGGTGGTTGTGAAGGCTTAGGCTTCCTCCACAGGAAGGTGGAGGAGAAAGGGCTTTGCTGGACTGTGACACCTGTGTATGGAAACAAAAGGAGAACACAGGCTCTCGGGATCTTAAGTCCCATATTGTGTCTTGAATGTTCAAGGAATATTGGGTAGTATGAGGCTTAGTTTCAAATACTCTGGAGCAACTGAGTCATGACTAGTTTTCAGAGCATGTGGTATGCATTAAGTGTGTATGTTCTTCACACTTCACTCTTGCAACACTTTGTACCTGTTTCTAATGTGTTGGCTCTCCCTTATATAAAAGGAAAGGTGATCGAAAGCCCTCTTGGGGAAAGTAGACTGACACACTGGTGAAGGTGTAACATCATCACATATAAGTAGTGGCTCATACAGTAGCAAAGATAGACTGTTTTTAAAGGCTCATGGATTAAGCTGTGAAGATACCTTACAGTAGGATAGCAGATAAAAACTATAGGAAATATTGGGGAAAAAAGTGAAAAGTTATACTTGCACAGTTTGTGTGCTGAGTTGATATTTCCTTCAGTTTGCTCTCAGATACTAATGATTTGTACAGATTGCTTTCAGAGTAAAAAAAATTGCTTCTGTGATCAGTTAATGTCAAATTTTGGTTTACTGTTTCTAGGAAGAATAGCAACATAAGTCTCAACATACAATTATGTAGTAAATAAATAATTGGTATAGATGCTGTTATTCACCTGAGACAAAAGAGAGCAAAAGGAGAAACAGGGTGAAACTTATTTATCTTGTGGATGTGTATAATATGTACATCCACTGAACTAGTCATCCTAAACTCCTGTTACAGAAAATGAAAATGTGTGCTTTTAAGAAATGATTCATTTGATCTATTCAGCTATCTGCTTTAGGGTGCAATTTGTTTTATCATAGACTCTTATCTGTGTTGACTGAATCTACGTTTGTCATGAAGGGAGACAGGAATGGTTAGCTGTCTGTGGACGGAGGAGTCCCAGCGAAGATTACTTCAGCTTTTATGTCTGTTAGCATGATAACGCAGGGAAGTTTTTGCATCAATAATATTATAGCATTTTGTTGAAATGGGACCTTGAATCTTCATTTTCCAAAATAAGAAGCTAATACACATGTTAAGGTAAGATGAATTAGGCTGGTTTTACATGTAATGTATAATCTAATGAAACTTTTTGGACAGGATGAATTGCTTAAAGAAAAACTAGTGTCTCTGAAACATGCTGTTTTTCTAAACAGATCTGTTAGAGATCCATTCATCCATCTTTTAGAGATGGTTGAATCACAGTACTGTTGTTAAGCCTCTTAATAGGATGCATGTGATATTATAAAACAGCTTCTGCAGATCTCCATTACAGAGGCTGTTAGCAGTATTTTGTGGGATAGGATATATGCGCTTCTATGGGAGGAAGGATCTGTTCTGAATCTATTTACTGGTAAATGTCTACATTGCATAAAATGAGTATCGGGGGCGTAGCTGAATTCTGGTATAGTTAGTGAAAACTGCATTTTTAAAACCATAATTAGCCACATGGATTAAATGCTGCTAATGGTTAGTAAGCTTGCCAACTAGAAAACCCAAACTCTCTAATACTGAAAAATGAACTTATCAAGTACTTGAGATAATGTGGATTAAAAGAAAGACAGGTAAATATTTTCTGTGATGTCACTGTCTCTTAAATGTTTTCATCAGGTTGTAGTTTGGCTTGCTGGCAAAGTATGGCTGGTTGAAATTTTGATTGTTGCATGCTGCAGTTTGCAGCTCCTTCATTTGGTAAAAGTGTTCAAGAGGTCATATTGTAAACTGGATCACTGAAATTATCTGTCATTAGAACTAACCCTGTTTTGGAGTGCGATGGTAGTAGATGCGTTAAATCTGGAAGTTTTGGGTGATTCCATTTATAGTTAGCCCTGAAAGTTTTACTGATGTAATTAAGGAGACTGCTGCAAAGAAAAGGTCACAAAGAGGCTTCAGCTGGAAAGCTGGTACCTTGTGAAACTGCACTCTTAGTTGATCCTCAAGTGCTTTCAAAATTCTGCTTTCTTACTCTAGAGAAACTGAGAAAAAAAATTACTTCTCTGAAAAGTACTGGTATTGCAACTGTGATCCTTTAGGTAGCATATTTAAATGGTAATCGAGGTTTGTATCTATATGCACTATGACAGTTTTGCATCCATTTGCTACTACTGAACAATTCTTAATTTTGGTATGTTCACTTCAAACCGTGTGTGCATCTTCTGTTTAGCTGTGGGAGCTTCATCTCTGAAGTTTTATTTTAAAACCACAGAATGAAAAGTTAGTTGGTCTGTTATTGTGGAGATTTTATGTTAAACTGTTAATGAATCTGCATTAATTTTATTTCAGCTAATTGGGCTGCAACATTAGTAAGCATAGTTTATTTCCATTGCTGTTAGCTTTTATCCTATTGATTACTGTCTGATGTATTTCTCCATGGCTTAAGCATAACTGATTTTTGCTGGAATTTTGTTGACAGGTTGATTTATGTGTATTCTGTCATTTAGAGATAAATCACTTGTTGAGTTTGTACAAAGATGGCTGAGAATGTGCCAAGTGAACAAAATAATTATGTATAAATCTTTCCTTGCTGCTGAGTGTTGTAGTTTCTTAAATTTAGGCAAGTTACATTCTGTTACATCTGGCTGGGTGTGCTGTCTCCCTTTTACTCTGCCGGGGATGGAACCTTCTTGAATTGAAGAAAGAAAAGCTAAGTCAAAATGGACTGCGGCTTTTTTTTATCTCCATCTTCCTTACCTCTTCCAGTAACAAAATTTTGGTTTTGCCATGCACTAAGAAAGCTTCGTCTTGTGTGCGGGTGTTGTTTTTGAATCCAAGACTTAACAGAAAAATATCTCTTAAAGCCATGTCTCCTCCTCAGAGAGAAAAGGTGTTTCATAATCTGGGCCAGATTTGTAGGATGTGATGAATTTGTATGAATAGAGATGTAAATCTTGAGGTTTGACTTAACATTCAAGAAAGAAATGGTCTGTAAAAACTTGAGCACTGGAGTTTGTGTTGTTGGTAACTTCAGTTGCATAGGGAATGGCTGGCTGATTTTTTTTTTACGTTTACTTTTTTTTAATTTAAGGATTCTAAAACTGTTAAGTAGTTTAGCATAAAGTATTGACTATAGGATGCATTATGAGTAAAACAGATTTGTAAGGAGGGATGATGTCCTAGTGGCAGTTAAAGTTGTCTGTGTGCTCTTTTTTCTTTTTATTTTATTTTTTTAATCTATAAGCAGTGAAGAGTCTGATTAGGGTGCTGTGGAGACAGCAGTTCTATAAAGCATGTTTGTGTGGGGTGGATTTTTTTGTTTAAGTGCTTGCAATCCTTTTAGGATTGAGACTGTGGAGTCGCACAGCCATATGGGGCACAGCTGATTAATATCTCCCCTGTTGCTTCATACAGGTTAAGGTTAGGTGGTTTATGTGTGTACATGGACTATTTTTCATTAGCCTGTAGTTTGGGAGTTAAGTCAGCATGATGGAACATTATACAACTCTAATAAAGCATTACATGAAAACATTATGTCAGTGCTCAGTAGTAGTCCAAAAAAAAAGAAAAACCAAACAAATTGTCCTAAGAAAGTAGTATAGAACAAACCAGAAAATGTGTAGCGAAAGGTGAGAAGAATGCTAAAGCCTGTGGAATAACCTCTGTAAATGGAGCGACAGACTAGGACTTGAACAAGATTGAACTGAAGCTAGGAAGGGAGGAAGCTAAAACTGTGAGTTGCTTGAGGCAAGGTAAATAGAGTATGATAGTTCTTATTTTGGAACAGATGGTGAATGAGAAGATGCACAAATTATCAGAAGATTAAAAACAAACAAGAGGAAGTGGTTCTTCTCGCAGCGCATGGTTAAGCCACTAAACGCCTTGTTGCAGGACGTTCTTGATGCTAAAAATTCACATGCTTTAATAAAGCATCTGCCCAGTTCCACAGGGAGGGGTGTGGGGTGGAATCCTTCAAGCATTATTAAACACAAAGCCGCTGCCCTCTGATGTAAAGAAGCTTTTGAATCTCTTAAAGATAAGGAGAGTTTCATCATTTATTGTTATGTTTGCCATTGTACCCTGTTCTTCCCTACGCATCCTCTAATGGTTACTTATCAGGTAGGAGAGACGTGGGCATTTGGTTTAATGTAGCATGCTCTAATCTAGTTTTGTACTTTCTGGAATCAGGATGGGATGGTATTACATGGTTAATGGGGAGTGGTAGGGGAAACTTCGTAAGATGAGCAGCATGGGATGTGTTGGGAAGCAGATATGCCAACCCCAATTTTGATACTGTGGCATCTTCTGGTGAAGTGGAGTAGTTTTTGGAAGAGCATCTGAAGCCTAGTGCTTAGTAGCAGAATGAAAGGGTACAGTAGCACAAAACCTAGTGAAGTTTTTTTAAAGCTTGATTATTATCTTTAAAGAAAAACAAAAACCCAAACCCCAATGTTTGTATGATTGTTATACTTACCCTGTTCCTTGTCTAAGTTATGAGGTTTCAGAAGTTGATTGATTTCATTCAAATTTTACAGGGGTGGAGGTCTCAAACTGAATTCCCACGGACTTTGTGGAAGTAGACAGCTGGATAGAGAAGAGGTTATACCATGGCTCCAGCTGAGAGAAGCAGTAAGGTGAGCTTGTTAAACATCAGAGAATCCTCATAGGACCCCCAACCTTGTAATTGAATCCATATGAAACTAGGTTCATTAGTTTCACTGCCTGTGAAGTAACTTGTTTAGCAGGGAGTGTTTTTAATCTAATGCTTACATTTTGACTTAAGAATAACTAATGTAAGGGGCTGTTTGTTTGCCAGCTTCCTTTTCAAAGATTTTTCTTTTTGAAGTTTAGTTTTGAAACTGAAAATATATTCTAAAGAGCTATGTTTTCTGTATTTTATTGAGTTGGCAATAAGCCATCTAATTTTCATATTTCTAGCTACTTTGCACTCAAAGTGGGAGAAATTGTCAGCTTTTTGATACCTACAGTTTTTTATTTAAACCTCAGTCTAAGTTTTTGGGAGGTTTTGTGTGTGAAAAAAATGGCAATGGGACATAAGACCTTCAAAACCAGGTTTGAATATGAACGTGTTATAAGTTGGGTCTTGTTTGCTTAAATGCTAAATTAACTGGTAAGCAGGAGTTCAGCACAAATAAGCTGAACTCTTGTTCTTTCCCCTTCCTTTCCACTCTTCTTCCCCTTCTCCTGACTCATTCCCAGGACTGCTGAACATATGCAGCCTACATGCAAACTTTTTATCACCAGTTTTTATAACTCCAGTCAAAATATTTAACAAGACATTTTATTTAGCACTAAGAGTACATCCAACCCAAATGTTTCATTTCAGCCTGTAAAGCTTTGTTCATTTGTTGTAATTACAGTATTGATTGATAATGCTCAAACTAATTAGAGTAACAAAATTAAGTCTTGTATGTCAGTCTGAGCTTTGCTAAACAGGAAGCTGTTGAAAGGGAGAAGGTAAAAGTCCGATGTCGTGCCATCAGAACTTTGTATTAGAGCTGTTTCATGCTGCAACATGAAGGAATATGCCAAAAAGACGACTAATCAAGCATGTTCCTCTTGTCAATATTTTGTGCTGCCCAGCTGATTTCAAATGTAGCCAGAAAAGTTACAGATTTATAGCTGATTTCTTCAAGTGTCGCTTGCAAAGTTTCTAACTCAAGAACATGAAGGCCACTGAGTTTCAGAGAAATTCTCATTATTGCACTGTTGAAATTCACTTTCTTCAAGCATATTGATAATGTGATTTCAGAAATCTGTTGGTTACCACAGCATGGCTTATCAAACCCTTTGCAAAACCCCTTGAAGAATTTCATAAGTAATCTGTAATAATATGCCAATGTAACTTTAGGAGAATTACAGGATAATAATTTTGCTTATTTTTATACAAATATATAATCTTGTCTCTTTATTTTTAGGTATGCTTGGCAGTGACAATGGACTATTTATTTGCATCAGATACTCTTATATGAAAAGATCACGTTTCCAAAGAGCTTAAATATTATTTCATCTTCTGAAACAGAATGGCAGGCTTCAAACGAGGATATGATGGAAAAATTGCAGGATTGTATGACTTGGATAAAACTTTGGGCAGAGGCCATTTTGCTGTGGTCAAACTTGCTCGGCATGTCTTCACAGGTGAAAAAGTAGCAGTAAAAGTGATTGACAAGACTAAACTGGACACTCTAGCCACTGGACATCTTTTTCAAGAAGTTAGATGCATGAAACTAGTGCAGCATCCCAATATAGTACGGCTGTATGAAGTGATTGACACCCAGACTAAGCTTTATCTTATCTTAGAGCTAGGTGATGGAGGAGATATGTTTGATTACATCATGAAACACGAAGAAGGCCTGAATGAGGATCTGGCAAAAAAATATTTTGCTCAAATAGTTCATGCTATATCTTACTGCCATAAACTGCACGTAGTTCATAGAGACTTAAAACCAGAAAATGTGGTCTTCTTTGAAAAACAAGGACTTGTGAAATTGACTGATTTTGGCTTCAGCAACAAATTTCAGCCTGGAAAGAAGCTTACCACAAGCTGTGGATCTCTTGCATATTCTGCTCCTGAAATTTTACTTGGGGATGAATATGATGCACCAGCAGTCGGTATGTCCTCTTTGAATTCAGCCAGTAATCTAAACTTAAGTATCATGATGTTGTGCCACTCTGTTTTCTGTTTCAAGGTAATGCCATATGTGGAATCCAACTAATTGGCAAGAAATAACATTATAACCTGAATGAGTTATGGATGAGTTAATGCTGGAGCAGCTGTGTTTGAAGGAGCATACTCAAACATTCTCAAAAATGTTTAAAAGTTCTTTTTTGTATGAAATGATGCTATTTTTAAAATAGTTGTAAACATTGATAGAGTCACTGAGTGTGAAAGATAGTCATACAGATGGCTCATATCTGTTAGTTGAGGTAGCGATGATTTAAGACTAACTTGTCTGATTTTTTGCTAATTTACCTGAGGTAAACAATCAGCTGACTTCACATGCTGACAAGGTATTCCTGCAAGAATTTTAGTTCATCAGTGTGCATTATTTCTAATATAAATATTGTTAGCTAGTAGACCTTATGGTCTTTGCTTAAACTTTTGAATGTCACTTCGTGGCTTCCAACTTTAAATAGGTATTTTACTGTGGGTTTTCTGGACTTGAAAGTACTTTAAGTGTGCTGTAATTAGGAATTTTAAATGTTTATGCTATTTGTGGTTTTGCAGATCTATGATGCTACAGTGATGCTTGACAAAATGATTTCTGTTTAGAGTCAAATGTTCTAGATTAGTTGGTTTTGGATTGATTAGTGGCAAACTGGAAATCTGAACTCCTGAATTCTGTGTTCTTCTATGTCTTTTTACTTTGAATTTCCTGAAGCATGAGTGTAACTGATTGCGGTGGCCTCTAGATGGAAAAGTACAGTTGTTAAATATTCTATACAGTGCCCTATGAATTTTTTTTTTTTAAATGGAGTAGCAGTCAAATTTTGGAAGATGAATGAAAAATGAAGTTTTGATGTTGCTGCCCAACTGAAGATTCGTGGAAGAAGGTGTATGGGGATTAATGGGGGGAGGAGGAGTGGGGGGTATTAGGAGCATTATGACCAGATGGTCCAGATTGAATTATATAGCTAACAAAGCACACTTTGGGCCTCTTAATGATAAATATAATAATGGTGGCATCTCATAAAATGTTTCTTAGAGGACTTTGTAAGCAATTAGGTAGGTAAACTTCTGAATAGTACTAGAAGACAATGGTTGAATGGGTTCATAGAGGAGGAGGTCTGGCTAATACAGAGTGATTGTGATTGATGTGAACAGTAGGAAAAAAAACTAGAAAAATTTCTTCTAGCTGATGTTTAAGGATGCTAGTTAAGTTCTATTTCTGAGAATATTTAAATACACATCAGTGGCTAATTTTTGCTTACTTATTCCCCAGTATACTGTCTCAGTTACTGGATACTAGAACTTCTCCTATCCTAGTTGACAGATTGTGGTGCTTGTATTCTAGCGTTTTTAGTGGCACAGTCATCACTTCGTAATGCTCTGCAAAATCTCTAAAGTACTGTCAATACAATAGTTACAGAATAAGAATATCGAAATTTGCAAGTTGCCAATAAGATAATGACCTTGAAGAGTCTGGATTTTCCTTTTCTAAATGTGGGTAAAATGGTAAGATACACTATGTAAGGTTTCTAAATATGACTTATTTTTGTATTTTAAATGCGAAGATTGTGGGGAAAAAAAGAAAAAATATTAGGGACTTCTTTAAAGCCCTCCTTCCCCCCTTTCCCCGAATGGAGTCTTAAATGTAGAGTCTTAAAAGAACATAGGTTTAGGAAATTTATCACTAACCATGTAATTATGCAACTGAGAAATTAGCTTGTGCAAACCTTTAAAGATAAACTTTCATGCTAAGATGAGGTCATACTTGTGGACTAGAAGTATGTATAAATGCGGAAGTAGACCTCTTCAAAAGAAGAGAAGTGACATCAGTTACATTTTGATGTTAATAATGTGCAAGGTGTATGTGTAGCCTGACATAGTGGTGAAGTGCTGTTAACTCATTCAGCTATTGGCTGAATAGGGCTATTAATATTGCTAGAATAATGACTGACAACGGCAAAGATTTTTTGCCGGTTAGGATGAAATTACATTATAGCTGAACCAATTTAAAAGCTGGTTGGTTATGAGAAAGGAGGTCGTGCTTTCTCCAGCGCGACTACATGGTCATGCCCCTTTGTGAGCATCTGACCACTTGAAAACCAACTCAATTTACTAAAATGCCAAATTAAAAAGGATTGCCCTGCTAATACTCTGTAAATGTTAAGATAAATTTGCATTCATTATAATATTTTAACCCCCCCACCTGTTTTCATTCATACAAAATTGTTGTTATATTCACAAAAATTATTGCAAGAAAAATTGGTCAAGATATATGATGGGTTTTTTTTGCCAAAGACCTTTGGCACAAACATGGCTTTTCTGATGTCTTATGAATAATATTAGAATGAGTATATTAAGGAAAAGACTTCACATTTTCTTGCTACAAAGAGCTGAAATATTCAGGGCAAGTCTTTTATTAAGTTATATGCTTAATAAATATCGTGGAAAAGCTTGCTTTATGAAAAGGTAACTGTTTCAGCTAGTTTAAGGATTAATCTCCCCTTTGTGATGCTACTTAAGTTTTCACACTTGAAAAGAGGCTAGTTAATTTAGGTGTCTCATTTCCTTTTGTGTTTAAGGCTGTAGTTAAAATGATGCAAGAGTAATATTAGGCAATGATCATATGTTCCCAGGGCTTTTCAAAAAGCTGAATGAGTTAGATAATGAGAAATTCTGTTGCTTGTAGTTTCCCATGTTTTTTTCACACTTAATTAAAGTTGGTTCTAGTCGGAGGAAAGTGAGAGGACAGTTGTTGGACATAAAGTTCATCTTGTAAATCAAATGGACATATTATTTTAGATCAGACAGAGTTCTGTCTAGAGCAGTGGTGTAATCCAGTGAACTCCAGCAGTATTGAAAAATAGATAACTACAGATGAGACTAAAGCATGCTTCTGGTAATACTTTTCCTTTTGCTCTACCAGCATCAACAGAGATTGGATCATTGAATAAATAGAAATCACCTCTTTCCTAGGTGATAAAGTTTAATTACAGTTTTTTCAGATTAGTTGATTCTTTCAGAGGAAAGCAAGTTCTGTTTTAGCTGCTTTGCATCTCTACAAAGTATTAAGTGCTGTGTAGGCTACAGTAATTCTGGAAGACATTGACACTTCTGATAGGTTTTTATTATTGTAGTTGGGTATTCTGTATGTGATTTTGTAGATGCATGGAAACATTTGAAGAGTAAATCTCTCCCCCTTCTGGGGATGAGAAATGGGCAAATTCAGATTGTAAGATTGGGATTGTCTGTTTAGCACAGTTGAGCACAGGCCTCTAGAATGGTACTGTAATGTACAAATAACATTGTAGGTATCATCACAATTATTTAGCCTTGCAGTCTGTCACAGCAACACCAAGAGAATGGTGGCAAGATGTTCCTCATAAGACATGACTAACAAGATTATTATGGTTACTGTAGCTCAGTGCTATTCAACTGGCAGCTTGTAGTCCAAATCCAACTTGCTGCCTTCTTGGAAGCTGCAGGGGCCAGGCACTTGGATAACATCCATTACTTTAGTAGTTAGATGCTGCCTTTTTGTCACAACTCAGACCTGGATATCTTCTGACAATATGGTAAGATCTAGTCATATATTTTTTATTATTAAAGGAAATGGAGGATTTGTCATGCATACCTTTCCCTTTCCTGAGATGATAATGCTTTTAGACCCACTTTGTCTCTGTTGGAATGATCCCAAATACTTTTGTTTTTGCATCAAGCATTTGCAAGGGCTTCTTAGTTGCATATAGTGTTGCTGGCGTGTGTTTGGTCTTTCAAAGCTTCAGCCATGTTTACCTGGAGCTTGAGCATAGATAGGATCATCGGGGCTACTTAGCTATCTGGCCTGTGTGGAGCTAGTTTTGATGTTTCTGCATGTATATAGCACTTTATTCACAAACTGAATGACTAATGTAAGGATAATGGCCAGTGGGTATGTACAGTAACCTTTTACACTATAAAAATGCTGAATACAAGATTTGACAAACTTGAGTTAAAAAAGAAAGGTGGTAAGATACTTGCAGACCATATATGGTGTTGAATCATTTAGCATACCTGACAGCATTTTGGAGTTTCAGCATGCTCAAAATCAGATTCCAGCCAAACTTGACAGAAATGAAAAGTAAAAATTCCTACAAAAGCCTTTCCTTGATTGTTTTGAAAATCTCCCTCTTTAATGTTGTATTGCAACACTTCAGAAGATTTATAGTTAGATATATTACAGAATGAGCTTGAAGGTGTAAGGGGTGCAGAAAGCTAAAAGAGTGTAATACTTAGCTGCTTCCAGCATAAGAGGTCTTCCCCTTCTGTTTTGCTCGTGTCAGTGCAGAGCTACCCCTTCTCACGTGCTGCACTGTTGCATGGCTGACCATTTTATGAACTGATTTTATCAGCTAATGACTGAAAACTTAACTTTTCTGCACGCTTAACTTCTGCCAGGTTGGCAGAGCTGTTTGTTCCATTAGCATTGAGTAGAAGAACTGGTGCAAAGGAGGTGAAGGGAGCACGCAGCTTGGACTAGAGTTCTGGGGGAAGATGGTAGGACTTTTTTTTGTTAAGCTAAAAGAGTGTAATACTCTTAGCTGCTTACAATAAGAGATGTCTTCCCCTTCTGTTTTGCTCGTGTCAGTGCAGAGCTACCCCTTCTCACGTTGCACACTGTTGCATGGCTGACCATTTTATGAACTGATTTTATCAGCTAATGACTGAAAACTTAACTTTTCTGCACGCTTAACTTCTGCCAGGTTGGCAGAGCTGTTTGTTCCATTAGCATTGAGTAGAAGAACTGGTGCAAAGGAGGTGAAGGGAGCACGCAGCTTGGACTAGAGTTCTGGGGGAAGATGGTAGGACTTTTTTTTGTTAGCAAGTTTAGGTTAGATCAGCTTGGCCTAGCTCACCTCACCTTCCATGTGAGAGAAACTCATTTCACTGAAACTCATCAAGTATC